AGGTAAGAGTTAAGGGGAAAATTGATCAATAGGGGGAAAAAAACAGATGGTTTGGTTAGAATAGTCTGGGGTTTGTTTTTCAGGTTCTTTTGCAGTTTGTAAATACTTTGAAATTGCAGCTTTCAGTGCCTGCATATCCACAGCTCAACATGTAGGTGCCTTGCATGCTGCACACAGAATAAAAAGAATGTACAATTAATGTGAAACTGGATTAAATCTTCCATGTATAATTGCATTGGAAATATGGCAAAGTCAGGGGAAAAAATACCTTTTACGATGTAAATGGGCATATAAATTCTTTAATTATGACATATTTATGTACCAAAGATACTCACAACCAGAAGTATCCTGGGGAAAATGTTCTATTTGTTATCTGGCACAGTATAATCTAGATCTTCTTGTTTTTATCAGAGTGCATCCCTGTTTTAGATAACATGCTGTGTTTCAATTCTACCTCTTCTATCCATATTCTTTGGTTGTCCTAAAACTTTGGAGATCTGATTGGCACTTGGTATTCACAAATTCCTTCTTCCACCTTGGCTCCTGAAGCTCATCCTCAGTTGGATCACAACTCCTAACATTAAAGTTTAACCTTCCTCCCACTACATATGCTCATATCATCCCAGCAAAGCTCATGCTTTGGACTCTGCCAGATCTGTGAGTCACTGGAAGATTTTTTTTTAAATTAAAGTTTATAATGGTACCTTGGAAAAAATGACATCACTTGGAGTTTCTTACAGAAGTTTTCTGCTCTGAGTGCACCCAGCAGGCCACGCTTGCACAGTTCCCACCGTGCTCAGTCTGGATCTTTCTAAATCCTCAAATTCTTTCTTGCCACCAAATCCCAGAATTGATCAGGCCTGCAGAGCAAAGGGAGGAAAAATGGAGGCCAAGAAGAAAACAGATGTAAAAAACATCTTCAGGAATGTCACTTATCAGTGCATGGAATGAATCCTGTGTAAGAAAGCATAGAATTCAAACTAATGAGACCTCCAGGGAATGCACCATCCTGTCTCTCATCTCTCTGGTGCAGGGATACACGCCTATGCTCACTGGGCTTTTGGAACTGAGCAGTTTGCCTGAATGATGCTTGTGTTTTGTTCAGTGCAGCACAGTGCATGCAATCAGGCAGGCAATCAGGGGCTCCACTTGAAGAAATTAAAAATTGGTTTAATGGCAACTTTGTAAGTTGTTGGTACCATCATTAGTATTTATGTGAGAAATTTTAAAACAAGCCAGGGAAAAATTCAAGTAACCAACCAGCCAAGCTTATCCTTCATGTTATCTTTTTGACACCACTGTCAGTATCACCCTTTCTCTTCTCCTTTATCACTTGGAACCAGAAAACCAGAAGAAAAAGAGCTTGTTTCCAAAAGCCCTCACAAGAGCTTTGTGGTATCAAAAGGCCAAGGCACAAACCTAATGCACCAGAGGTCAGGACAGCAAAGAACAGCCCATGGTGTCGTGGCTGCCGAAACTGCTGTC